AAAGAGTGTTCATATTCTCCAGACAGCACTTAGATTCTCATTCTTTGTAAAAACAAAATATAAACTAAAATAATATGAAGACCATGCAAAAAGTTGCCACATATAAAATACTTCAATAAAAAAATAAACAAAAAATTTAAAGAGTATCAACATCTATTTGGCTTTGCACAATGTTGTAATGTTAAGGAAGAAATTGTTAATGAGGGATACCAAGACAAGAGTCTTGCTGTTCTCCAGACTTCAGATCACCTCCAAATCAAGATCAGGGTTTGCAATTTTTCACTACTATATTGGTAATAATGAAGGGGTCTTAAATTGAGATTATTCATCAAATCCCTGAAAAACATAATGGTGCAAGAGGTTTGCACAGTGATAATTATTTGAGATTTTAAACATTGCCAAGAAGATTCAAGCACAATCTAAAAAGAATATATTTTGTATTTTAAGACTACAAAAAATTGATTATTAGAAAGTCTTGATAGTTATGCTCATATGTAGGTTGTATCTAAGGTCTTACATTAGAAGCTTGTATTTAAAATGCTTGTATTTAAAATCAAATGTATTATAGAAACACTTCTTTAAAAAAAAATCCAAAGCCTCATAGATGCTATTAAACACCTGCAGTGATTTTGAGCAACTTAACTCCATCCTAAATTTTGACATTGAGAGAACATAATGAAAAAGCAGCTGTTTTCCAGAAGCAAACAAAAAATTAAATTAGTCTATATGGTGCTTTAAGTGTTCGTGACACTGAATTACATTGGTTTACTTTCTAGATGTTTATAGAGCCAGCTTATGTTGTTTGACTTTTGAAGGAAGACTAATAGGTGTAGTAATGGGGGGTGGGAAGAACACAAAAAAACCTTATGGTTAAGCCAAAACAGGGGTCATGCCTAGGGCATTTTATCTACCCTGCTTGCACACCCCCGGGGAATTGCATCTCAACAGTTGATTCCCTGTTAATCAATTCACATTAGTGCCTGCCTTTTAGTTTTCACTTTGCTGAATTCCAGGAAAGAAGTTCTTAAACCAAATGCATGCTCTATCTCTGACCTAGTCAGAGCTGTCGCATTTCAAGAAGAAATTAGCAGATTTTATTTGCTCCACCAGCTGATAAGAGACACCTTTGTAAGTAAGGATTCATAGCCAGAAGACTCAATACAGAGCAAGATCCAGTGGTCTGTTTGCACAGGTCAGCAGTAAAACGGGAGAGGACATTTACAGAATTTTTTTTCCTCTCCACCTATTTTCTCTAGCTACAGAGAAAGACGCATGTTACACATTATTTTTCTGCTTCCCTTTAGTTTCTTATTTACTGTGTGCTTGGTCAGGAGAGCTGTAGCACTTGCTATCACTCCATACTGTTTCCAGTGAGCCTGAATGTTCCTGTGCTGCTCTTGCCCCTCACAGGCTAAAGCTTATAACAATTTACTACTCACAAGTGAGAGCCACATTAGGGGTGGGAGGCAGGGGAGAGGTATGAGCATAGAAATAGCAAATAGCTCATTCACAAAAGCAGATCTGACTTTACATCCAAACCCTTTAGACCCATTGGTTAAGCTACTCTCTAGCATACATGCAGATCTTCATACAGAGGATCATCAAAAATAAACTTTATTATCAAACTTAAAATTCACACATTAAACAGAAGATCTAGATACAAATAATACTGAAAACATTCTCAAACAATAACCATTTTAGGTAATTTGGATGAGTAACTAGTTACCGTTGTTTCAAATGCCTTTAAGAATATTTCTTAATACATACTCCATCGTGAAATGTCTTCAAATGCTTAGCTGGCCAGCTTTCAATAAGATTTTTAAATAGGGGAAAACTTATTTCTATAGAAATAACATTATCTAATTATGAATCAGAGACCCATAATTGCAGTGCTTGGGGAAAAAATATCATAGTGTTTTGAAATATTTAGAAGACATAAATAATTATTGTACATTTACAAGTTTAAATATTTAAAGGCCTTCGTTACTATAAAAAGTTACTATGTACATATTAGATGCTATATAGAAATCCAGCCGGAGGAAGGTGTGAGGTCTCAGATTTGGCCACTGAAACCTATGAATTTGGTAGGTAGATTGTCCACAGGGTACACTATTGGGCCCGTTTTCATTGTAGGAGGTCCATTCAGCAGCTGCCAGTCACAGCTCCGAGCCAACTCAACTGTAAATATTTTTAGAAGGACTTTTGCAAACTCTTTGCCCACGCAGCTCCTCAAGCCTCCACCAAAAGGAATGAAACTGAACCTAGAGGAATCCTCTGGAGATGGAGACATGAAGCGATCTGGATTAAATTCATCCTTGTTGGTAAAGAGATCTGCCACATCATGGGTATCACAGATACTGTAAATAACATTCCAGCCTTTAGGGATCTGGTAACCCTATCAAAAGAAGACAAAGGAGGCATGAAGCACCTTACTGTGTTAAGTCAGATGAAGCAAAGAAGAGGACACACCGGTGCACTCAACCTCCCCTCCTGGCTTCCTGCAGGTCACTCGAAGGCAGATGGGCTACCTGAACGCACTAGTACTTTGACAGCTGCTCCGAGGAGTTGAGCCCAAGCCCCACTTACATTTAGCTCGAGGGTCTTGAGTGCAATTCGAAATCCTCCAGGAACAGGCGGGCTCAGCCTGAGGGTCTCTTTGATGACACAGCCCGTGTACTTCAGCTGCTCCAAGACCTCCATGTCCAGCTGCTTCTCTTGGCTAGGACTGCACAGTAACCCCTAGAAAGGAAAATGCTGCCATGACATTTATGGAGCAGGCAGCCAGGGCTCCTGGCACTGCAGAGCAGCCACCCCTCAGCCAGTGATGTTCTCCTGCCACCCCCTAAAAGTGGGACACCATCTGGGTCGAGGGGAGCCCTGCCTGGGACACTGCTTCTGGAGGTACCTTCCCACTGCCCCCTCCTGTGAAATGGCTCTGGGGAAGACACACACCTTCACCTGCAGCTCTTTCCGCACTTTCTGCAGGACATCATGATGGAGCCCTAGGAAGGCGATGAGCGACGTGGCAGCACTAGCAGTGGTTTCATGGCCCCCAAACAGCAGCTCTGTGGCAGATTCCTTCAGCTCCTTATGCAGAGGACAGAGAAGGGGTAAGACAGCCCTTGAACACAGTATCTCTACCAGGCCCGCTCTACCACCACAACACTGTGCAATGCCCCCAGACTGGAGCAGACACCCAGAGGCCAGGATGAGGGTGGTGTGGACATGGCTCCCAATCCAACAGCCTGGTTGCAGCCTCTGCACCCCAGTGCCCTACACAAGCCGGTTTATTTCATGGGGAGAGAGAACATCTCTTGCTCTCTCCTTTTTGCCCCCAAAAGATAAGGGTGCTGCTGACAGAGGGGCTGGAGGAAAGGGACAGATTTGGCCCTGAGGAACCTCACCTGCATGTTGAGCTGCTCCCCGTTGCCCTGCGTGTGCTCCATCAGCAGCTGCAGTGCATCCTTGTAGCCACCCTCAGGCTCCTTGCGGGCCATCTTAGCGCGGATGTTCTCCTCGATCTTGGCGTGGATAATATTGCGTGCCCGCAAGCCCTGATCAAGGAGCAGGGAGAGCAATGTGGGACTTAGGCCATACTGCCATCCCTCCCATCCATTCCCCACTGCCCTGGCTGCAGGGGCACCCCTCTCCTCCCGGCCTGCAGGGAGCCTTACCCGGTAGAGCCCGCTGAAGGGCACGTCAATGGGGAGGGAGAAGAGGTTGCGGATCATCTCCTCGAAGGCCTCCACCAGCTGCTGCTCACCATCGGGGCTGGCCTGGCGGGGCTGGAAGCCCAGCAGGATCCTCATGGCAATGCGAAACATGAGGCGCTTCACCTCGGGGTACACCAGCAGGCAGGGCCCGGCGGCACCCAGCCACCGCTCCAGGCAGGCGCTCACCTCCTCCTGGATGACAGGCACGTAGTGCTGCAGGGCGTCCCGGGAGAAGGCCTGCATGATCACCTGCCCGGGGGGACGAGGAGGAGGAGGAGGAGGAAGGGGACACAGGCTCAGCCGCCGCGCCCAGGGCGGCC